GCGCAAGTCAGGCGGGCGGTTTTTGGGGGCGGCGGCAGCACGGTCGGCGCCTCCGGCGCCGCCAGCAAGGGCAGCAGGAGCAGCTCGGCGGAGCCCTCGCTGAGCGCGGCGTTCCAGCAGTGCAGCCAGGGCAAGGCGTGGCTGACGCCCGCCAACAGCATGGTGGCTGATCTGGTGCAGCTCAACTGCATGGGCACCTCGTGAGCACCGCCGCCCTGGCCCAAACCATGGCTGCAGTGTTGTTGGCCTGCAGCCATGCTGCCGTTGGCGCTGCTGGGTGTTTGCTGCGCGGCGACGGCTGCCGTGCTGTCAGGGCTGACCCTGCCTTGCAAGCTGTGCCGCTGCCGCCACCCTGCAGTAACGACGTGCCCTGGTGCTTCTCCAAGTGCGACTTTGACGACTTCAGCGGATGGAGCGATGCGGCGGATGCTGAGCTGGCGGCGCGGGGCGTCCAGCTGGACCGTTATCTGTACCGGGTGTATCTCCTGCCGCCGAGCGCCTGCCCCTTTGTCGGCCTGGGCTACACCGGCTGTGACGGCAGCTTCCCCTGCCGCGCCTGGATCGGCGGCGACTTCTGGACGGCGCCAGAGGTGGGCAAGAAGGGCTGTCGCGTGCTAGCGCTAGCTGGGGATCCCCCGAGCAGGGCTGCCCACACGGCGCTGCACCTGCCCGGACTTACCCTCCTCGGCTGGCATGTATCCCCTGTCTCCTTCAGGCCATTTTCCACGAACTGGGCCACAACCTCTACTTGGGGCACGCCGGGGCGGTAGAGAAGGATGGGCAGCTGGACGAGTGAGTCGGGATGTGGGTGGCTAGCTTGCCTCGGTGCCTGCCAGCCATCGCCGCCGTCACGATCATGCTGATCATGCTGACCGCCGCCTGCCTTGCCACCCCCTGGCCGGTTTGCAGGTACGGCGACGCGACGGCTCACATGGGCTTCTGCTGCCACCTGCGCTGCCCCAACACGCCCCACGCCTGGCAGCTGGGCTGGACCAGCCTGGCGCAGCTGGACGGAGCCAGCCTGGCGCCAGGTCAGACCGTGGTCGCCACCATCGCCCCACAGGCGCAGCCGGGCGGCGCCTCTGGATCCGTCGGCACCGGCGGCGGCGTGCCAGGCCTACGCATCGTGCCTGGCTGGGCAGCCGGGGCGGATCCCGTTTACCTGGGCTTCCGCCGTGCCGCTGGCGGCGACAGCTCGCTCGACCCTGGCCTCGCCTCCCGCGTGCACATCTACACCCAGCCGCAGCTGGCCTCGGCGTTCGACCCGCAGCCCACGCTGTGGCAAGCCGCTCTGGCGGGTGAGGATCCTGGGGCACTGGTGAGGGCGGTGCGTGCAGAGCAGTCAGCCTGGCGGGCAGGCAGGCACTGCCATGCTCCTGCAGCTGCTCCTGCTGCCAATCCACAACCGCCTTCCTGCCCAACACCCCAGCCCACCACTCGGTTTGCCGCCTGGCCCCTCCCTGCTGCAGACAACCAGAGCTGGCAGTCGGCGGCATCGGGGCTGGTGGTGCGCATTCAGCGAGTGGACCCTGCTGGCGGCGCTGTGGTCAGTGTATGCCGCAGGGGCGGCGCCGAGACGCGCGACAGCTGCCAGAAGGGGCTAGACAACGACTGCAACGGCCTGACGGGCGGCGCCGACCCCGCCTGCCGGCCGGCGCTGGATGCGGGCAGCAGGCAGCGCACTGGCGTGCTGCCGAGCACGCGGCCGCACACGCGGCGGCCCAGCCGGCGGCGGCCCACCGGCAGGTAGCATGCATGCTGCCTGCTTGTCATGAGAAATAACTTGACTTGAGACACTGGTCTCCCACCATGTTCCTTTCTACTACCATCTCCTTGTTTCTTTCTTTATTTCTTTCAAAGCAGCGTCACAGCGGCAGCAGGGCCGCCGTTTCATTTCATTGCACTTCCCTTGCCATCTCTCCCCTTGCCTTTCAACGTGACTTGCCAGCAGGCACTGCTCCTCTTTTTTATTTCGATGCCGCAGCACCGTTGTGCGGTGCAACCTATACATCACCTTGCTCAAAACGTATGATCCCCCTGCACTCCATCCACCCACCCTCTATTTCTGGCACCCATTCAGTCCTTGTTCCGTAAGCAGCTCTACAGATTGTCTTGCAAATCCCCCTGCACAAATCCCTTGCATTCCATCAACTTGTTTGAGTTTTTGCTTGCCACTTTGGCCCTTGCAATTGAGCCTTCCTCACACGCGGAACCGCACCATGGTGATTAAAGCATGTGCCCACAGCGGCACCAGCGCTGTAATGCTCACCCAATTATGGCTGGTGATGCCGGCAACAGCTGCGTGCGACACGGTAGGCTAAGCGCTTCCCGCTGGGGAAGCTGGAGCTCATCACCGCTCCTGGGCGACGGCGCTGCTGCGCCCGCTGTGGCGGTGCCAGCCAGGCGTGCTGCGGGTGGGCGCTGGATAGGCTCGTGCATGCCGCAGCCTTCAATTATCTTTTTGAGCGCCTTGGGGTGCGTTACACGGCGCCTGGGTGAAGGAGTTGGCAGCAGCCCAGCAGGATGAGCGACGTGGAGGAGGGGGAGATTGAAGGGGAGCTTGGCGAAGGTCAGCCTAGCTCGCCTTCGTGCCGCCGGTCACCGCATCACGCATGCGCCAGGTCCCATGCCCCGACCTCGCCCTGTGCTCTCCCGCGATGCAGCTCCCCCGCCGCCTCCACCCCCCGAGCAGCCTCCCCATGACTGCCAGCAGCAGCAGGCTACACCCCAGGCCGGCCCTCCACGGGAGCGGCTGCTGGCGCCGCAGGCCAGCGGCGGCAGGTGGGCACCACCGCCTGTTGTCGCCGCCTGCCGCCTATATCACTTCTCGGCGGCAGTCCTGGCTTGCTTGTGGAGCAGCTGGCGCGTGCTGGCATGGAAGATCTTGGCTAGGCAGGCCAGACCTGTGTGGGCCAAGGCGTTTTGGCCGCCACTTTCCGTCACCCCTGGGCTCCCTGCCCTGCCCTGCCCTGCTCTCCCTCCCCTATCCGCTGCGGAGCAGGGCCCCCTACTACGCAGACCCAGACACCAACGGCTTCAAGGGCCGCGGCGGCGGCGGCGGCAAGAAGAAGCGCAAGAAGGCGGCGGCGGCGGGCTTTGTGGACGTGTACGGCCAGGGGGTGCGTGGAGGCAGGCCCTCGCCTGCCCTGACCCGGCTGCCCCGTAAAGTTGCCTGTACCTGCCGGCCTGGCTGCCTGGCCGCCTGCCTTGCCCATCTTTGCAGCTGGACGCCGCCGGTGGCGCTGGTGCACCTCCCTTGCCGCTCCCTTGACCTCGGCCTCCCCTCGTCAAGCAGCACCTGCCTGCCGGCTGCCCAGCACACGTGTGGTTGACCGCCGCCGCTTGCGGCATCGTCCCCTGCGCCTGCAGGCCAGCGCCGCCATCGAGCTGTACCGAGACCAGGGCCCCATCCGGCTGTCAGATGTGCAGGGCCTGCTGCTGTGGGTGCTGGGCGAGGGCGCCAACCCGCGCTGGTGCTTCGTCAAGGTGTGTGCGGCGCGGTGGCAGCACGCGCCGCGTGCCGGGCCGGAAGCTGGCACAGCCAGACGGCGAGCCGCGGCTGCCACCACGGGCGCCATGCTTGACGCCCAGCCGTTGACCCACCCACCACACGCACACACACACGCAAACTCTCAACCGCCGCCGCCGCCATCCCCGCAACCCGCAGAACAAGCCGCTGGTGAAGAAGGTGCTGATGCTGGCGGCGCACGGCCTGGACGAGGCAACGTGGGCGGCGGCGGCTTCTGCGGGGGCGCTGCCCGCCTGGCGGCGCCACCTGGGGGAGCCCATCCTGCTGCAGGCCCGCAATGCCACGCTGGCGCCAGGTTGGCGCACGCTGCGCTGCGCTGCGCTGTGCTGCATCCCGCTGCGCTGCTCAGTGCTGTGCTGTGCTGTGCTGTGCTGTGCTGTGCTGCTGCGGGGGCACACGCTTCGGCAGGGGCAGCCGGCCTGCCGTGGGTGTGCTGATCCTTGCTCCCATGCCGCTCCACCTGGCTGCAGGATCCACCGTGCACGCCCTGCTGACGGTGCCTCAGACCAAGAAGCGGCGGCGCGAGGACGGCCAGCAGCAGCAGCAGCAGCAGCAGCAGCAGGAGGAGGCCGGGGCTGAGGCGGCGGCCGCCGGAGGCGGCGACGGCCTGGCGGGTTCCCAGAACGGCACGCCAGCAACGGCAGCGGTAGGAACGCCACCACCACAACCACCAGCAGCAGCAGGAGGCGTGACTGACCTGCACGACGCAGCACACGGCATGGCCACCCCCGCAGACGCGGGAGCGGCGGGCGGCGTTTCAGAGGCGGCAGGCGCCGCCGCCGACACGCCCGCCCCAGCCGCCGCCAAGCGGATGAAAGTGGCGGCGGGCGCCGATGTGAGCAGCCGGGTGCAGCCGCAGCTTGCGGGCGCGTCGGCAGCACACGGCGCCGCCGACGCCGAGGCAGCCACAGAACCCGCCACCGAGCCTGCCGCTGCAGGCGGCCAGCTGGCGGCCTCTCCAGGCCAGCAGCAGCAGCCGCGCGGCGAGGATGCCGCAGCAGCCGCTACCACTGCCGCCGGCGGCGGGCAAGGCAGCGGGCAAGGCGGCGCAAGGTGGCGCCCCGGCGCGCTGCCTCCCTCCCACTACGTGCTGACTCTGGACCAGCTTCAGGAGCATGGCTACCCCCTGCCCGCCTACGACGGCGCGACGGGGGAGATGGCGTGCCCCGAGGGCTTTGTGGCCACGCGCTCCGCCAGGGGTGGGTGGCCGCCGCTGCTGCTGCTGCCTGCTGGCTGGTGCCTGCTGGCTGGTGCCTCCTGCTGCTGTGGCTTCTGTGGCTGCTATGGCTGTAGCGGGCTCTTGCGCCCCGCCTGCCAGCCCTCGTGCCCCGCCCCCTGCCTCCACCCGCCCCCACCCGCCTCCGCGTCCCGCCCCGCCGCCGGCACCCGCTGCACACCAGCAGCAGCACCACCACCACCACCGCCACCACCCCCATGCTTTGCTTGTGCCGCAGGCGCCGCTCCCTTGCACGACCTGGTGGCCCTGGACTGCGAAATGTGTATCACAGAGGCCGGCTTTGAGCTGACGCGCGCCACACTGGTGGACAGGCAGGGGCAGGTGAGGGGACAGAGGGGGCGACGCGGCAGCGGCTGTGCGTCTTTCAAGAGTGCTGGTCGGTCGCCTGCCTGCATCTGCATCCCCTCCCTCCCAATCCTTCGCCCCGCCCGTCTCCATGCCACATGCCGCTCCCTGGCCCGCCCCACCCTTTGGGCCCTCCGATCGCCCGCTCACACCGCCCCCTTCCCCTCCCGCCACCCAAGCAGGTGCTGCTGGATGAGCTGTGCGTGCCCCACAACCCCATCACCGACCACAACACGCGGTACAGCGGCATCACCGCAGAGATGCTTGAGGGGGTGAGGCGGGCTGGGGCCTGGGCTGGGCTGGGAGGGCTGGTGTGGGCTGGCAGAATGGAGGGAGGGCAGGAGGCACGGCTGCACCGCCCTGCCTCCTCGTGCCCCTGCCGCTGGCAGGCAGGCTGCTGTGCCATGACCCTGCTCCAATACCACTCTGGCCAGCCACCCCGCCTCTCCTTGCCTCCCTCCACCCCGCCCGCCCGCCTGGCACCAGGTCACCACCCGGCTGGCAGACGTGCAGGCCAGCATCCGCGACCTGGTGGCCGCCGAGACGCTGGTGGTGGCGCACAGCGGGGAGAACGACCTGCAGGCGCTCAAGGTGGGCAGCTCCTGCGGCAGGAGGGCAGCGGGGTGGTGGGCACTGCGGTGCCGGGCACGCCCGCGCTGCTGTTTGAACTGGCGGCGCGGCTCGCGGCTGTCCACACCGCTGCTGTCCACACCGCGCCGCGTGCGCCACACCAGGCCACACCACCACCCACTGCAACAGCTCGTCTGCTCCATACCCCCACCCCCCCTTGCAGATCATCCACGCCAACGTGATTGACACCTCGGTGCTGTTCCCGCACCCGCGCGGCCCACCCTTCAAGTCGGCGCTGCGCGTGCTGGCCTCCCGCCACCTCACCCGCACCATTCAGCAGGGTGAGGCCGCTGCCGCGGTGTTGTGTGTGTGTGTGTGTGTGTGTGGAGTGTGTGGGGGCCGAGAGGCTGTGAGTGTCTTTGGTGGTGTGTGTGTGAGGCGAGAGGCGCGCAGGGAGGCAGCCTGCGAAGCCGAATCCCGCTGTCGGCCTGCTCTCTCCTGGCCCCTTCTCCTCACCGCTCTCCTGCTCGCCACCTCCGTCCACTCGCTCACCTGCCCGCACCCACCCACGCGCTCCATCCTTGCATCCTCTCTCCAGGCGAGCACAACCCTGTGGAGGATGCCCGGGCGGCGCTGGACCTGGCGCTCCTCAAGTTTGAGCGGGGGCCCGCCTACGGCGCGGGCGGCGGCGAGCGCGGCGAGCGGCTGGTGGAGGTGCTGGGCGCGGCGGGGAGGTGCGCGGCGGGGCTGCTGTGGCTGCTGCAGTGCACATGTGCAAGGTCTGGGCACGACTTGGTGTGGCGCTGGTTTGTGTCGGCCGAACATATTCCCAAGTGGCAGCAAATGCCAAGGGGGCGCGCGTGCTCTCCCGCGCCACCACAAACCGTTGCTCCCTGCCACGCCACCTGCTTGCCGCAGGCGCACCACGCTGGTGGACCGGCTGGAGCTCCTGAACAAGCAGGTGGTGGGGGACTGCTCCGCTGTGGTGGCGGAGGGCGACGCGGCTGTGGTGGCGGCACTGCGCCGCGAGCTGCCCAAGCCGCAGGCCCACCTGGTGTGGGGCCAGCTGGGCGCGCTCCAGGAGTATTACGAGGCCAGGCGAGAGGGGCTGCTGCAGGCCGCTGCAGGCTGCTGCAGGCTACAGGCTGCCACCAGGGCTGCCGTGTGATGGGAGCGCTGTATGATGTGTGCGTAATGCTTGGCTGCCACTGCCAGTGGGGTGCCAGTCTCTGGTGCTGAGCGTATAGGGCGGTCCCTGGGGGTTGCAGGCTGGCGGCGGTGAGGGAGTCTGGCCTGCCGGAGCCTACTGCTCCCTACAGACTGGGGCCCGGCGCAGGTTACGCCGGCTCGCCTAGGCAGCAGCAAAATGGCGCCGTGCCGCCGGTGCCAGCCGAGCAGCAGCAGGAGCAGCAGGACTGGGCGCAGCCCGCGATGGAGCAGCAGCAGGCGCAGGCGCTGGCAGTGCTGGATGCCTCTTTAGAGCAGCTGTGGGCGGCGGCGCCTGTGGGCACCCTGGTGGTGGTGGTGACGGGCCAAGGGGACACCACCTACGGAAGGTAGGGCCGCCGGGGCGGCGCCGCCTGCTTCGCCGCCTGCAGGTGCCGGGCAGCGTGGGGCTCTTGCCGGCTGCCGCCGGCTGCCCCGCCCGGTCCCCAGGAAGTGGCACAATGACCCACCACCGCACCCCCAGCACACGAACACCCACACCCACACATGCTCTCACTCTGACGACCACATTATTTCCTGCATCTCTTCTGGCTGCAGGTACCTTCAGGAGCAGAAGTGGCGGCGGCAGCAGGGCCTGGGCGGCCACCCGCCCTGGAGCCCCGCCTGCGAGGCGCACCTGGCGGCCTGGCAGGCGCGGGCGCAGCTGGCCCTGTGCTTTGCGGCGGTGAAGCAGCAGGGCGAGGCGGTGCAGGCGGCGCAGCCGAAGGCTCAGCCAGGGGCGGCGGCGGTGGAGCAATCGCCGCCCGAGCAGCAGAAGGAGGGCAGCTGAGGCGTGTGTGTGAGAGCGGTGTGTACTGTGTGCCGGCAGGCAGCGCTGCCTGGCTCCTCTGCCGCTGAGCTTGCAGCTGTGCAGCGTCCTGTAACAGTGCCGGCAGGGGAACACCAGTTGTCGAGCATGGCGACTGGCTGGCGCTGCTCAGAAGGGCAGCGCCGGCAGCGCCGCTGCATCCCGCCTGGCCGGTCGCAGCCCCTGCCGCTGCTGCTGACGCGGCCGGCGCCACGTGCTGCTGCTGCCGCGGTGGCAGCTGTTGGCGCGATCACACGGTGCTGGTGCGCTCCTCGTACTCTGTGTCCCAGAGTTCTTCCAGGGTTCGGTAGGGGCCCTCGGGCGAGCAGAACCAGGCGCCGTCCAGCATCCTGCGCAGGCGGGCGTCGGCGAGCAGGCGGCGGCGTCGGCGGCACGGCGCCGGTACAACAGGTGGCAGCCCATTCTGCGCAGCACAGGGCCACCCTTCCTGCAGACCAGCGGTCCACTCCAGCCAGCCGGCAGGCCGGCACTACCCACACAGCTTGCACCTGTACTGAGGGCCCAGGCTGCTGAGGGCGGAGAAGTCCTGGTCTGGCAGGCGCCAGCTGGCGGCATCCAGGTTGGACCTGCGGGCATGGATGCGTGTGTGTGAGTGTGTGTGTGTGTGTGTGTGCATTCATGCCCACGTGGAAACAATGTTACGGCTGCCGCCAGCTCACCACACCTCAGGTGCGCCTCCTTGGTGGACTTGGGCAGGCAGGAGGTGCCGCGCTGCACGGCCCAGCTGCACGGCGGGAAGGCGGCGGGGCGGGCGGGCCGATGGGGCTCGGCGCCACCCGGCGCAATAGCTGTCAGCACGGGCGGATGCTCGCCTCCCCGTGGGGGCACTAGTGGCCTGCTCCCGGTCTGGTGCCAGAGGCTGAGCTGGCGCTGTCCCTGCCCTGCGTGACATCGCCTCAGGCAGACCTGACCAGCACATCTGCGGGGCTCCTGCCATGGCGCTCTGCAATCTCGAGCAGCGTAGCGTCCTGTACCGCCATCAGCCGGGGCGTGGGATGCATCCAGCGTATGTGGTACCAGTCAGCGCGCAGCACAGCGCGTGGTCCCGCGCAGCCAGCAGGACCCCACCCCCACCCCCTGCTGCAGCTGTGCATGGGGCCGCGGAGCTCGCCTCCATCAGCACGGGGGTGTCCTCCCGGCGCTTGAAGAAGGCAGAGGTGTGTGGGGAGCCCAGAGGACTGTAGGCCGTCACGTGGATGCTGCGCTCCTGCGGCAGCGCAGGCAGGCAGGCAGGGGGCGGCTGCTACTGGCATGCAGCGGCCCTCCGTGGTCTTGTGACAGCTACAGCCACCCGCCACCCTGCCGCGCCAACCCAGCCACCCACGTGGCACCAGTCGATGAGCGCCTGGTTGCGGAAGTAGGGGTGCGCCTCCACCTGCAGTTGCGCAGGGGCAGGAGGTGCCACAGGCAGACAGGCTAAGGTGTCGATGCACTCGTCCAGGCACGGCTGTGCCATGCAGCCGCTGCCACCCCCGCAATGCCGCCGGCGCGCCTGGTTGACCGCGGGACGGATGGTGGCGCGCTGCATCACTTGCTCCAGCTTCTTGATGGAGAAGTTGGAGACGCCCACGGCCCTGCATCCAAACGGGGCCCCACACGACTCTGGGCACACCGCGTGAGGCAGAAGCAGAAGTAGAGCCGCAGGGGCATAGGCGGCAGAGGCCTGTCCGAGTGCCAGCGTCGTCCCTGCCGCCCTTGCGGGCTTGCCTGGCCAGCCCCTTGTGCACCAGCTCCTCCATCGCCCTCCACGTCTCCTGCAACGCATGCCGCCACACACACACACCGCCAGCAAGTGCCACTCTGCAGGCTTGGGAGACCAGCAGGAACTGCCTGGCACTGCTGGCAGCTCCAGCCCGGTTGAGCGAAGTACAGCTGCCAGACAGGTGATCGTGGAAGGGACTCGTAGTTCTCCCTCCCCTTGCGCACAGTTCTGCCCTGCCTCGCAGGAAGCCGAACCGCCCTCCCACCTCCAGCGGCGGCTCCAGGCGAGGCCCACTGTTGCCTGTGACTGCCCAGTGCACCAGGTAGAGATCCAGGTAGTCAAGTCCCAGCTTGTCCAGAGACTCTCTGCCGGGGGAGGGGTCAGCACGCCCTGTTTGGTGGCAGTCGCCGCATGACAGCCGCTAGCGCTGGCGACGCCAGCGCTGGCGGCGCCCGCTGCCAGCGGCCAGCGCGGCTGCCTGGAGGCGAGGCTGGCAGCAGCGGCGGCGGCTCTGCAGGCCCGCCCTGGGCTACACCTGGCATGCAGGCAGGGCAGGCAGGGTTGGATAGGTGCCCGCCCACCTGCACGCCGCCTCCACCCGCTCGGCCGCGTGGTCCTTGTTCTGCAACTTGCTGGTCACCCACAGCTCTGCAGGCTGGGAGCGCCACGCGCATCAGCGGAGCCGCCACCAGCACATGTGCTTTGGTACGCCAAACGGCGTCATCACCTTCGCGCCGCACGCTGCCATCGGCGAGCACCGTCGCCAGCGCCTCGCCCACCTCCCCCTCGTTGGCATAGTCCCCCGCGCAGTCTAGGTGCCGGTAGCCCAGCCTGCGGCAGCCTCGAGGGGGATCCTTTAATCCGATGCAGCGACTGCCCGTCTGCCGGTCCGAGGTTGCGCCCGCTCAGCAGCCGTGGCGGCGACCGCCGTTTTGGCGCTCAGCCAGCGGCACCCCAAACCCAAGGTCCCATGGGCCTCTGGCTGCGCAAGACCCACCTCACGGCCGCCTCCACCGCATCCCTGACCTCGCCAGGCCGGCGCTGCGTCCAAGTGCCCAGCCCAACCAGCGGCAGGCGGGCGGCCGCCGGGAAGACAGGCGCCGTGGGCGCGCGCAGCTGCTTCTGGCCACGTGCCCCTGCCATTTCGGACCGAGGTGTGGACTCGCCAAAGAGATGGGCAGCCGCCTCGCCCAGCGCGCCCAGCGCCGCCAGCCTGTCGCACTCGACATGTGTGCCCTTGACGGTCAGTCAGCCAATTCTGTTCAGCGTGTGATAGTGCCATATGGCGATCAAAGTATGGTACAGCATGAGGGGCTGAGTATACAGAACACACAAAGCATCAAAGAGCCCATGCTTGGCCCCACACAGTGCAACGTTGGAGCTTACGTTAATGCTGGGGCTGCACAGAGCGGCACTGCACACCACCTGAACGGCCGGATGGAAAGCAACGGCGCGCAGCAGCCTGCTCCAACAGATGAACTAATCGGCAGCTTTGGCTGCTAAGAGGCTCCAAGGCCATCGACATCCAAGCATCCGTCGCCGCCCTAATCCTGCTCGCCCGCCTCGATCACCTGCTCCACGCCCGGCTCCCCCACCTGCTGCCCGCCCTGCTCCTGCTGCTGGCCCTGGTGGGGAGGCGAATTGTGTCCGGGCGATGGGAAGAGCGAGTAGAACAGCTCCTTCAAGTCACCATGCGCCAGGGGCGGCAGCTGGGCCTGCTCCCCGAGCGAGGGCAGCTCGGTCCCAAACTGCACAAGGGCGCATGGAAGGGCACAATGCCGGCGGAGGGACTGGCTTCATATAAGGACGCAAAGGATCAAAGGACGCAAAACCAAGTTGCAAGCTGAAAGATGGAAGTTCTAAGCATGGCGATCAAGCAACAGCTCACATGATGATGTCCCAACCCAACTCACCACGCGGCGCCAGCGCAGCTCCTTGTTCAGCTCTACCTTCCTAGAGTCGGGCATGCCGGTCGGGGGCTTGCCGGCGTAGCCGACGTACTCATTGCGAGTGTCGTGCAGCACTGCGCGCTGCACGGCAAGAAGTGGAAAGGGAGGATGTTTAAGATGCTTGCCGCTTCAGAAAATGTCTTGGCAGCAACAACAGAGAGCCAACGGGTGCAATGCCAACATGGTTGAAGCCTGCAAACATACCCACCTGCAGTGCACGCAGCATGCGAGGGTTCTGCACTAGGAGGGCGGTGCTAAGGTAGTGGCCGGCGATGGGGTTGGGCAGCACCCGGCCGTGCTCCTTGCCACGTACGGGCTGGGACTGGACTGCCTTGCTGCAGGCAAGGAGGGAACATGGGGGTCGAGCCCCTAGAAGTTCAAATGATGCATCACGATAACATGAGGCATGCATGCTGCCGTTTGCTCACCCCATCAGGCTGAGCATGGCGGCAGTGAGATGGCTGACTCCACCGCCTGCCGTTGGCCAGGAGCCCTCGCTCTTGAAGAGTGTGCCGTACCTGTGCAAGGGAGGGATGGCTGCAAGAAGCGATGGTGCAACTACCGAGGTAGCACGCATTCCAAGTCAAGGCCGGCTACATGTTTCAAATAACCTTACCCGGGGTCCACGATGTGCGTGGAGGTGTAGCCTGGCACGGCCGAGTTCATGAACGCGCTGCACTCCCTGTCGTGCACATGCACAAAGCCGCCCCACGCCTGCTGCCTGAGGTCCCCGCGCAGACCCTGCAACAAGTTGGAAACCCATGCAGCAAGTGTTAGGTAACAACTCAACCTTGATCCACAATCATGTTGGCCAAGGCTCCATGCTGGCCAAGGCTCCATGCAACCAATGGCCACGGATGCCAATTATGAGCCTTCACCCGCACCGCAAAGGGCACTGGCTTGGCCAGGTGGCCCGCCTCCAGCATGCCATCCTCATCCGACTCATCTGACTCCCACACCTTGCGCTTATGCTTGCGTCCCTGCCCCTGTAGTGCAAGTGCGGGCTCTTGCAATTCGAACGCTGCACAGCTGACACATGCCAATGAATCGTTGTTGATTGCAGTAGGCATGGGTTGAGTATGCCTAGGTGCCGAGGACATAGCACCCACCTTGGTAGGCCCGTGGGAGGACATGGCAACGGGCCCAGATGGCTGGGTGTGTCCACTGGCGGCAGGATCCTGGAGAGGCAGGGGAGGAGGTCAGCATGTTACATTACAGTCACCCTGATGATAGGCCGCGCGATCGCGTGGGCAGACCAGCAAAGAGATGGCGACACATGTTTCTTCTTTTTTGCCTTGGCTATAAAACAGCCGGCAACAACACTTCCAAAGTGACCCAGGGATACAAGCCCACACGCCCCTCACCTCGGCCATAGCCGCCGCAACATCCGGGCCGGGCATGGGCGCGGGCTGCTCGGGCGTTGCACCTGCGATCTGCATGATGAGCAACGGGCAGTGCAAGCCGGGGAATCGGGGATGATCTAGCATGGAAGCTGACATGAGCAGCTACGAGACCACAGTGTTACACACAGTGTTACAGTCACCCCGCTATGATAGACCAAATGCAACCTTGCAACTTGCAACCTTGCAACCTTGCAACTTGAAGCAAACAGATGGCCCATACCCCTGCTGCCCTTGCTGCCTCGCATCTAGTCCATAGGGCAGTTTTAAGGTTTCCAGGTTTGCCAAGACAGGCCGGTGCCAACTCCCAACAGGACGGGTCGGAGCGAGGGACACGCCTCAAACAGCCAGCCACGAACCACCCAATCCCCACACGAAAGGCCCCTTTGCCTAGCTCGCCTGCTCAGGAATGAGGTGGGGCCCAACCCCCTCGCCGCTAGCGGCTGCGGCTGCCAACACTCGCATATTGCTGGGCCCACCCGAAGCCATGGCTCAGATGCCTCCACAGCCGCCCAAACTGCTACCAAAATACTCGAGAATGGCTGTGGGCGAAGTATCAGAGGCGATTGAAACATCGAATCACCCCGGGGTCAAGCCGACACGTGTACGGGGGGGCCGCCTGGCGGGGGGCGGCTCAAGCCAATACGCCGCAATTTATCAATTTAAACAAGAACAAGAGCCTTCTGGAATGGTCAGTCAGACTCTCATCGGCCCATTCCGGCACTCTTGCCATGCACCCACCTGGTGCATACTCGACATAATCCTCCACCCGCTTCAGGACTGACGTGCCCGCTGCCCTGCGCCGTCTGCGTAGGCGCGCCCTCTGCAGCACACGCACACCACCCGGCGGGTGGGCATTACCAAGATCAGAGGCAGAGCCAGTCTCAGCGACGAGGGAGGTGTGCTGCTGCCAGGGTCTGCCAGGTATTCACGCTGGCGCACGCATAACAAGAAGGGAACGTCCTGGCTCACCGAGGGCCACTACTACCAAGGCCATTGCCTGGGGCATCACTGCCTCCGCATCAGCCTTGCCCCAGCTGGGTGCTGGCCTGGAGGCCTGTTGACTGCCGCCCTTGCTGCAGACCAGCCGCAGCCGCCCCCCTCAAACAGTTCATCCTCATCGTAAAGGTAAAGGTAAAGGTGGGGAAGAGCCTCCACAGGCTTAACTTCCCGGTTTTAACGTCTAGCTTTAGACCATTATTTGACCTGCCCGACGCGCCAAGTGCAGTACCCCCCACTAGTAGTGAATGGGTCCCGGGGAGGCCTGTGCCGAACCCTTGGCGATTCTATTAGGCGCTCCCGAAGGAATTGGCTTGGATTGGCGCTGAGCCGGTCAGCTATGCCGCGTTTGTCCTCACAAAGTTTCGACATGGGAGGAATCGAACCTGTGCCCTCTCGGAGGGTTTATACACTAGCTCCAGCGCCTTCAAAGAAGGCCTTTCTTAGCCGCGGGACAAAGCGTTGCCAATGCCCACCAGGTTTCTGCAATGCAGCACACAGACGGGGAAACCGTCACCGACAGCAGCAACATTGCCAGGGCAGCACCGTCAGCAGCGAGGTAACAACATAAGCAACAAGAGAGCTGCCGGCTGCATAGCAGCACCTGCCTGCCCCGCGCTCACAGGTGGTGCGAATCTGGATGCTGCTTGGCCTGTGGTTGTGGCGCTCGTGCCGCTGCGGCAGGCTGCGCGGTGCAAGCTTCTCTTCAAAGGCGCATGCGGCCCCCAGGCGGTGGCAGGGGCAGCAGCAGGTCAGAGAAGCACCACCATGGTCTGAGCAGCGGCAGCAACTCAGTTGCTGCTCACCTGCGTCCTCCGTTCCACCACCTATGTCCTCAATGTAGCCGCAGCCGCTCGCGGCCCCCAGAGCGGCTGGTGCGCGGCTGCTGGCAGTTGCAGCGCGAAGCCCGTGTGATGCCACAGTGCGAGGGAACACAGCGCCTCAGGCACATGTGGGGCTGGTTCCTCCTCCCCAACCATCGAAGCAACGGCATCCGCCTCCTGGACAACGCCGCCGCCAGCAAGCGCGGTGCCTGCACCACACATGAGGCAGCAACAAGGATAGCCTATGGCGCAACATGTGAGCAACACTCGCCCCGCCCGCTGAAGTCGCACTTATGGTGCACCGCCGGCGGTGCCAGCCAGCTGGGCTCTGGAAACTGATTCTGCTGTGGGGGGTTGTTGAGGTGGTGGTCCTCGCTGGCGAGGCACCGCAGGAACACACCCACGCCGCAGGCCGCTTCAGGTTCCCATCCGGCACATGTGTTGTACAGCACATGTCGGCCTCGGCGATCAGGCAGCTCTCCGACAGTCGATGCTGCAACAATGGATCAGTTTGCGCTGCATGCTGGGCAGCACGCGGCACCAGCCCCTCGGCGCCGTGGGGCTGGCATGCCGGCATTGCCGCTGTTTGGCCACTTTGTCATCGCCCGCCCTCTACTAGGCAGCGGCTAAGAAAGGCCTTCTTTGAAGGCGCTGGAGCTAGTGTATAAACCCTCCGAGAGGGCACAGGTTCGATTCCTCCCATGTCGAAACTTTGTGATGACAAACGCGGCATAGCTGACCGGCTCAGCGCCAATCCAAGCCAATTCCTTCGGGAACGCCTAATATAATCGCCAAGGCTTCGGCACAGGCCTCGCTGGGACCCATTCACTACTAGTGGGGGGTACTGCACTTGGCGCGTCGGGCAGATCAAATAATGGTCTAAAGCTAGACGTTAAAACCGGGAAGTTAAGCTTGTGGAGGCTCTTCCCCACCTTTACCTTTACCTTTTTACTGTCTGGAGAGAAGTGGGCGCTGCTCCCGGCCCTCCTGCCCCTGCATGTGCTGACAGTGGGCGATCAGTGGGCGATCAGTGCGCTGACACCGATCCGCAAGCCTGGTGCGGACCACCTGCGCTGTGACGGCTACCGCGGCATTGCCGTGGGCACACTGCCGGCCAAGCTGTTTGCCAGCATGCTTCAGAGCAGGTTTACAACCCTGTGTTACAGTCACCCCGCTATGATAGGCCGCGTGAGCAGACCTTGGGCAGGGGGCACACGTGATCAAGGGGCATCAAGAGAGGGGGTGGACCATGGAGCACCCTCTCCATGGCTCCGACCACCCTCCCCCCAGCTGAGCGTCCCAGGGTCACCCCACCCTGGCCCCGCTCCCCGTCCTGCCGGACACGCAACCCCCACAACGTGGTGGGGGACGTGGGGATCCTTAGCAGCTTAGGCCTGCCAGGCCGACGGGTGCCGATGCTGGTGCGGGCTCCCGGCGGCAGGCAGCGCCGCCGCCGGGCACTCAAATGGC